TGAACTGGGTACTTTATACTGTAAGTGTTTCTCATTTCTTATTCCCTGTCCTCACATCTTAGAGGCAAAAGACCTACCAAGATTTGAAATTTCTTTTTCTCCTCTCATACACATGACTCTCTGTCCTTGCTCTTTGTTCTGCATTATCTTACGACAAAAAAAGATTTATTATTTTGGATCAAACTCAAAGCTGGGCCGTGATATCTGAAGGTACAGACTCTCATACTTACAGGTGAGTCTGAAATCTCTGGATTTGGGAGGCTTTGGAAAATCAAAGCCAAGTGGCTAAATCAGGAGGCTCATTGGGCAGCGAGAGGAGAAGGGAAAAAGCTTTATTCACTGAAAGTCAATCGTCAACTTCCTCCATAGCTAAAATAGCTGAACCTGGTGCATTTAAACAAAATCCCCAGCCACTTCTGTGTTTTCAGAAGGTGGCGGGGCTGGGGGGGGCGGATTTCCAGGATCCCAGACCGTAAATCTTGCTGATAATGGGAATTGTGTGTCAAGGCGGGTGCTGAGCAGTTAAGTACCAAGATTATAGTCCTGTCTAGTTTCATGGAGATTTACTCGGGTAGAAAAACAGGGAATGGACTACTTTTTCAGCTCTGGGTGGGGGTACAGCTATAATGGGAAATTTAGGACCTGGCTCCATTCTTCGGTTTTAAGGAAACCTTTTAGGGCATAGCTTTGAGGGCAGTTGGGGAGCAAGGAGCAGTTACTGGATGAACTTATTCTATAGCCAAACACATCCATGGCTAAGGCAAGGCCGTGGGAGATTAAGCTGGTGAAGGCTTGGTGGGCCAAAGAATCTTAAACTGTGGACGTGAGGTCCAGAGTGCGTTGAGTCTCCAGATACAGATTCTGGCTCATCTTTCCTTGTCTCTGCCTTGTGGTAACTGAGTTCTGCAGGGCAAGAGGAGAGTGATGAGGAAAGGGCCTGCCTTTTCCAGGCTCTCTAGTATCAATGCTACCTCTTATTTGTGTGGCCTTTCACAGATAACAAAGCCTTTTACTGACATTTTCATCTCTCAAGCGTCCACCCTGGAGGGTATGGATCCTCCTAGAAGGGTGAGGCTCTCTGCACACTCCAGATTGAGGACTTGAAGAAGCCGGTGGACCATGATGTTTGGAGAATAAGAGTGGGGTAAGGAGGGTCTGGAGGGAGAAGAGACGCCTTTACTCCCACAGTGGAGCTGAAACTCAAAGAAAAGGCAGAGAATCCTGCTATCCCAGGACGATTTCCTTCCACCGTCTCCTTCCCTCATTTGTCAGAGCCAACAAATAGACTGGTCTCTCTCTCTCCTCTTTAACTGGGAAATGGGTCAAAGGCAGTGCAGAGGTGTTATATAGTCTATATAATTCATGGGAGGGGGGGTACACTTCTCTCTCATTATTGAGAATTGTATCCGTAAAAAAGACTGAGTAGAAGATGAACCAGTCTTCCTCCCAGTACCTGGATTCCTGCCTCCCAGTCAGCCCTGGGTTTACCCTGAAATGATCCTTTATCTTCAGACTCAGGAAAGTAGGACTCTTCTTTAGCAATAGCTAGAAACCCCAAGTTCTTGTTTAAGGGCCTCTTTCAGGGAGGCCCAGTGCCCAGGGGACTGTTGCAGGAGGTGGAGCTATATTGTAAGATACTGCTTCCCTGCTTCGGGTCAGAACAAGCCCCAGGAAGAAAGTGTTCCAAACAACAAGGTGGATCTGCCCTAACCCACCCAGTCTGCATGTTGGTGCTGAGAACAGCCTTTTATGGGGCTCACACTGAGCCTTGGACATGTCTGAACACAACAAGGAAGAGGCCAGAGCAGCAACTGCACAGCAATTGGCCAAAGGGCATTTCTTTTAAGAGAGGACAGAAAGCCTTCAGATAGTTTTCATCCTCTTTGTTAAAGTTCAATCCCTGAAAACCAAATTCTTCTTCCTTCTCCCTGCCCCCAAGTAGTTGCACCATTTTCAGGCAGATTTGGTAAAGGATATGGGGCCACCGGAAGCTGACCTTCCTAGATGAGTCCTTTGGAATGAGACCAAGAAGTCTCACCCTCCTCTGTCCACCACCCCATAATTGGATCTGGTTCTAGCCAGGAGTTCTGGTCCTTCCTGAGTGCCTCACTCACCTCTACCTGATTTCCCACTGGTGAATGGGCCTGCAAAGTTCTGTTCATGCTCTTCAGATGGCACTTTTTGAAGAGGAATGCCCATGCCCCCGCCTTCTACCACCTTGGTAAGCAAGCTCAGAGCAGCTGGATTTTCCTAAAGCAATTGCAGAACACGTGCCTTCTATAGACAGGACCAACCACACCAAGCTCATAGCACATACAGCAGGACAGAGACAAGGAGTGACCAGCATCCCCACTACATAGACCTAGAGGAGGAGGCTCCATCTGCACTGGTCTGGAGTCTACTTCAAGGGTGAGAAATAGCCAAGTGTCCTCAGCCCAGCAGCCCCACAACCCATGGCTTAGCACTGGGTGTCTGTAAGGCAGATGCACGAGTGTCTTAGTGAGCCAGCTCAGTGCAGCCTCCCTGGAAGGTGAGACTGCTGGGGAAGGGTACGACTATTCAGGTCCTCGACATCTCCCAAGCCTGAGATTCAAGGATCCTGAAGGCCTTTGGCCAAGCAGTAACCCTGTGCACAGAGGCTGTGGTTGACATCCAGCCAGCCTCTGAGACAATCCATGTGTTTCTCTTGTCCTTCATTCCACCGGAGTCTGTCTCATACCCAACCAGATTTCAGTGGAGTGAAGTTCAGGAGGCATGGAGCTGACAGCGACGGTGCCACACAGCAACAGCAACAAGAGTAACTTTGACTTAGACACAAAAATCCCGGGGAGAAATGTGATTGATGGAGGAGACACCTGGAGTGCACCCCATTCTGCAGAGAGGCCGGGCGATGGGCAGACTGGAAAAAGCACCACAGATGGGAATTGCATAGTCTTTCTTTTCTAAAATTGATGCTATGGAAATCTGTGTCTTCTGTAACTTACACAAATTAAAAGTCATCTGTCTGCTGGAAAGCGTTGCCTCTGTGGTTTATGATGTCACATGCTGACTCCCCAGCCTTCTCTGCCCCTTCTCTTTGGACTAATGCTGAGACATAAGCTTGAAAAATCGATACTGGTTCCCTCTCTCCTGGGGTCCCCAAGCACGTGGCTGGGACTCTATCTTCAATCAGCAAGGAAAGCCCTGCTGCCCTTAGAGTCCCCACAGTGTGAGCAGGACTTGCAGAAGGGGGTAAAAAACTCTATTATGATTTTTAAAAACCCATTTAGATTGTAATAAAATAAATGTAAATAAGATTTAAGTGAAGGCAGATTGCAGATATTTCAGATGCTATCCAAGATAGATCTCATAGTATGGGTGTAAATTCTGCAAAGGTTAATGCAGTTAAACATATTTGACACATAAAAATGTCAGATCCAACGTTAATCATTCACCAATTGTAATTGCCTTTATATGGGTCTCTACTCCCCAAGACATATGCTTAAAACACCAGGCTCACTAGGAATCTGGGAGGAAAAAACAAATAATACTTCTCAGCTGTCAGGGTCTATGATTTGCTTTGATAGATTTAGCACTGATTTCCTTGGCTTTATGATCCTGTGTGATTGTGTGTGTGTGTGTGTGTGTGTGTGTGTGTTTCTCTCCACATCTCTTTAAGAAAAGACAAGGTATAGGGCAAGGGAGGGCCCTGTGTCCAAGAAAGTCCAACCTAGTTACTTCACGAAGGAGATGCCCTCTGAAGCCTTTTGTTAATTGCCCCCTTCTTCAGTAACAGAGGTTCCTGTAGGGAGCCAGTCTGGCTAAGGAGGCAAATCTGAACAAAGCCTGGCTCTGACAGGCCTTCAGAAAAACCGGTTTTCGCCTCCAGAATGTGCCCTGGGCAGCAAACAAAACTCAACAGCTCCAAGAGGGCCAGAGGTGTTTTCTTAGGAGCCCACTGTAAAGGAGATCCCAGCTTTGCAGATGGTACCTGTCACTTGGGTATCCCAGCCCTGCCCCCACCCCACCCTGCCAGTGACCCCTGAGGCGAGGAATGGGCCTCTACACCCTCCCAGACCCCCTCCCTGGGATTAAGCCCCTACGGAATAAAGAGCTCCCTGACTGACTGCAGGAACCCAGAGGAAGAGCCATTTCCCCACAACATCCTCCTGCTTTAAGCTCATGTGGATTTAAACTTCATCCCTGTCACTCCTACCCTGTATTCTGAACCCGATGGGCAACAAAACCATGAAGAGGCCAAACCACAGACTTTTTTGTTTTTTTCTTTTAAAAAAAAGCTGTTTACTCATAAATATTGTGAAGTGAATCCGATGGGGGGACGGTGGTGGCTGGAGTTTGAGTTAATTGAATTGATCAGCCAATGCCTCCTATTCAAGGCTCCGAAAGAAGCCCCAGGGTCAGAACAAAAAGCATGACAGAAGTGGCATTTCCATTTGCTACTTGGTTGGAGCCCTGAGATCTGGAATCTTTTTAATGAAAGAAATATGCTGATGTGTTTGTGTGTCACCCGCCAGGGAAGGGTAGCATGGCCATAATGGTGATTGGAGGGGGACCTGGCAAACACCAGCCAGGGCACAATGCAGTGACTCCAAGGGTTCTCCCTAATCCATTGTTGGGTCCTCGATTTAGCCCCAAAGTCCCCAAATCCCACTCACACGCTGTCTTCCCCACGGAGGCCCCAGGATTTCCGGCACCCAAGCTTGACCTGGCTGCTTCCCCTCTCCCCCCATTACAGCAGACAGTTTACACCCCTTCGCTGAAGGAGAGACCCCTGAGCCTGGCCTGGAGCAGCCTGCCAGGGAGCCAGTGTGTGCCGAGAGCTGGAGCAAACTGCCTGTCCATCTTCCCTGTCCAACCTGCATGCTTTCATGTCTCTGGTCTTCACTGCAAAGCATGGCTCGCCAAGAACACCACAGAGAGAAAATGGTTTAATCAAAATTCCCTTGCAACAACAACAACAACAACAAATAAAATTACCCTGCTTTCTTTATTCATGATCTTTTATTGAGGCAAAAGGCAAATATCATTGAGCCAAGCCTGAATAGACAAATATATACAAGCACTGGTAATTTAATATTTTGTGCTAATGGTATACACTGTAGATACAACCCAAGAGAAGTAAATTACAGTCCTATCAATAATACATCGTATCCGGGCTCCAGTTTCCCAATAAGAGAGAAAATGTGTATTGGCAGAGGCGCTCCGAATATTAAAAGCCATGCATATAACAAGGCAGTGGGCACAGACGCCAGAGGCTCCCACAGGACTGTGCTCAGGTCTTTGTTACCAAGGTCCTTAAAGGGGGAAATGGCCCAAACTGAAATTCCTGAAGCTGGTGTTAAATGAAGCTAGCTCGTCCCCATTCTCAGCAGCCCTCCAGGTGCAACTTGAATCATAGAACAACCTCCAAACAGGGCACCAGTTTGCAGATTGCTTGAAACAATATTCTTTGAACTATCCCAGATCTGTGGCCAATGTCCAGGGTTTGCTGGGGTGACCTGGGATAGCAGACAAGGGAATCTAGAATGCCCCAGTCCAGATGGCAATATCTAAAAGACCGTGTGGCTTCAACACTCCTTCCTGATCCAACCTTCCAAACTTGTGTGTGATTCTCCAAAAAAAAAAAAAAAAAATGGAAGAAGAAAGGACAGTTGGTCAACCAACTGCAAAAGATGAGAAATGTTCCAAACACTAAAGTTTTGTCAGTGGATCCTAAATCCCTTCCTCCCCTCAACCTGCTCCCCTAGGTGATGTAGAACTTATTTTTTTTTTAATTTTTGGAGAGGTTTTTGCTATAGGGCGCATGTGCTCGCCAGACAGAGAGACAGAGAGATAGAAAGTGAGAAAGAACTTACCCAGGGGGGATGGTCACGCCACAATCCCTTCTCCTCCTTTCTCTTGGGATCTTGGGCATGCACACACACATGCCCGGCATGAGTTTTAAGCCACCGGGTCCAGGACACGAACCGCAGTCGACTACATGGGAGTCCAGCGGCATAGCCATTACGCTAACTGTTGGTCCCTAGAACTTATTCTTGTAATAAAATTCACAGCATGGCGAATTAGGTTAGTGTTGGCAGGACAGGTAATTAGAGCCATGGACGCACACTGGATCCCATTTTCTCTCTCCCAATTCAGGGAGTATTAAGGAAACAGAAGGGCAAGAGGGACATATCTTCCATGTCTCAGTCTGAATCAGTCGCTAGAGGAAGAAGGGAGCCAGAGGAAGGGGCTCGCAGGCAGAAGGAAGGTGGTGCAAAACACAATCCCAACCTCAAGCTTGGAGATGAAAAGCCTGGCCAACACTGTTCACTGGTGGAAATAAAGGCTTCCTGAGACTCAGGGCACTGACCAGGCTTCCTGGAGATAGACGTCTAGGCATCAAAGAAAAGCAATGCAAAAAATTCCCTTTGTCTGGGACTGAGGAGCAGGGCATCTGGGAGTCTTGTCACAGTCTCCCTCCCTCCTCCCCACAATCCCTGCATCACCCTCTTCAATTCTTTCCCCCGTGGGAGGGGTGAGGAAGGCCATTTTTTCTCAGCATGGCAGATAGCAGGGATGGTAGGACACCTGGTGGGGTGCAAGGGAATTACACCCATATTTGACCTCAACATCAATACCCAGGTCCAAGAAAACCTGTGCATCCTATAACATCACGGAAAATAACAAAGTAAGCATTTCCCCAGGGGATGCGATATTGAACTTTAAATATAGTAGCAGTTAGACACTGACCTAAATTTCTGCTGTATTCAACTGTGTTTGGGGAGAGATTGGTGGGTAAGCATAAACAAACAGAACCCATAGATAAACAAACATACACTATGATTTTCAACGCAACTGCCTCATTATTTAAGCTTTACTTAAAGTCATATTGAAATTAGATGCCATCCAGAGCACTTAGCAAGCTGTAGAGCTGAGAGAAGTTCCCCTGGAAGATAATCCATATAGGAAAAACTCACCGAAGCTAATCGAACATTGCCCAAGGCTAATGCTGAGAAGTTCTTTGTTTGCACACAAGTGTTTGCCAGCAGTGGCCTGAAGTTTCTGAATCAGCGCACAAAGTGGTTAAGAGGGGTCAAATCAGATTTGGTGCCAATTTGATCTGGCCGTGGGACTCTGGGCCAGCCACTTAACCTCTCTAAGACCCAATTTCTTTACCCATCAAGTAGAAATGATGGTGATAACAGAAAGAACTTAGTAAGAGTCAGACACTGCGAGCTTTGTGTGTTTTCAGTCATTTAAGTTCTCTGCCATTATGAGGTATGATGGACGTTCCCATTTTGTGGGTGAGAGAGTGTAAGGGACCGGGACAAGGCCACACATCTTTTGAGTATTTGTATTTAAACCTGGACTCTCTGGAGTTCACACTTGGGATTATGACTGTATCCTATTTCTTTTTTTTTTTTTTTTGAGAGGATTTGGCTACAGGGACCGGAGTTTTCGCTACAGGGCGCGTGTGCTCACCAGACAGACAGAGAGAGACATAGAGACAGAAAGCGAGAAATCACCCCCCAGAGGGGATGGTCACGCCGCGATCCCTTCTCCTCCATTCTCCTCTCGGGATCTTGGGCACGCACGCACACGCGCCCGGCGTGAGTTTTAAGGCACCGGGTCCGGGACGCAAACAGCGGTCGACTACGTGGGAGTCCAGCGACATAGCCATTACGCTAACTGCTGGTTCCCTTGTATCCTATTTCTTCATATCGGTATAATGATTAGATAACACATGCAAAAGGTTAGCAAATACTGAGGCAAGAGAAAGCCAGTGCATGGAAGTGGGTAAGAGAGGTAGAGTATCTGCCCATGTGGCTAGACAGGAAAAAAAAATGATCAAGGTAGAAAATTTCCTGCCCAAGGTAATTAGGCAGGAGATTAGTGGGGGATGTCTACCTGATAAAGCCACATT